CTGGCGGCAAGGCACCCACCCAGAGACACTCAGAAGGGAAGCGCCTGGCCTGGCCCGAGGCCTCCGCCACCCCGGCCAGCAGAATGTGCCAGGGAAGGTGGCTCTGAGGACAGGGAGGGGTGTCGGGACCGAGCCAGTGCCTCCATGGCCAGCCCAGCTCCAGGACTGGGTCTCTGCCAGGCCAGAAGCTGAGGCCACCAGGATCCAGGGCCTAGTCCAGCCCTCCCGCTGCCCCCTCCAGCCCCCCTTTGCCCACTGCTCCAAGCCCGAGCTTCCTGATGCCCAGCCTGCCACCAGCCGCCCTGAGCAGAGGGAGCTGCGAGGGCTCCGGCCCCAGCTCACCTCCCTGCGTTCACCCTCTGTCTTTTGGGTCTTTCGGGGCAGGATGGTCTCCTGTGCTGTCCAATACGACAGCCACTGGCCACCTGTGGCTCTTCACATTCACTTAAAATTAAGTAAAAGTTTAACTCAGTCCCACAGCTGCATTAGCCACAGTTCACAGTCCATGCTCGTGGCTACTGGCGGCCACACCGGGCAGCTGACACAGGACATGCCCTCCACTGCAGGAAGTCCCCGTGGAGAATGCGGTGACCTGCGGCCCCACCTCGGTTCCTGTCCTGTCCCCAGACTGTTGGGAGCAGTGCGGGGGGGGGACCAATGGTGGGCAAGACAGGAAGGGGGGACCCTGAGCGGGGCTCCTGTGTGGGCATCGCCATTCCCATGTCACAGGAAAGGGAAGAGGGGCTCAGAGAGGGGAAGTGACCTGCCCACGGCCACACAGCTGGTGAGTGGGCCCAAACCCAGGTGTGTCTACCCCTTCTGTCCCCACGTGCTGTCATCTTCGATGAGGTCGCCGTGTGGAGACTCAGAGAGGGAAGGCCTCACACCCACTGGCCACCGTGTCACCTGCGGGTGACGCATCTCACCTCCCTCAGCCCCACTTCCTTCGTTTGTAAAGTGGGGACCCGCGCCCTTCCTCACGGGGCCCGAGGAGCGGTAGGTGCTCGCCTGTAGCAGGTGCCCTTAGCCTGCCTCCCCGCCTCCCGGGAGCAGGGGAAGCTGGCGAGAGGCGGGCCTGGGCTGTCAGCATCCCAGCTGTTTCTGCAGAGCTGGCCCCTCACCCCGCCGGGTGGCAGGGCGCACCAGCTGGGCCCGCGGAGGGCGGACCCTCCCTCATCCCTCCCTTCCACCGGGGACCCCAGGAGGGAGATGGTGCTGCCCGGGCCCCAGCGGCTGGCAGGGCCGGCCCGAGCCTCGGTTCCTGGTAACATTTTGGCCCAGAATTACATAAGGCTGAAAGTTTCTATTTTCTGTGCTATTCTTCTTCCTGATCTAATTGTGCATCTGTGGCAATGTTTATACACTTCCCCGGTTCAGGACAACTCGGTTGCCGCAGCAACCGGTGCGCGCCAACGCTGTAATTTAGAGATCAGCGGCGCCAGAGCCTGCCTCTTCCAGGGAGAAACGCCCTCTCTCAGCCCAGGGAGAGAGCCCTGCCCCCCTCCCCCACGGCCACCCCACCCCTGCGCTGGGTTCTTCTCCCTTCTCCCTTCAAAGGAGCTCCCTGGGTCCCACAGTCCTGGATGAAGTCCAAGAGCCACCTTGTCACTTGAGGAAGTTACTTGACTGACCCGAACCTCAGTTTCCTCATCTGGGAAATGGGATGAGTGAGACCCATCAGTCTGACGACCTAACTGGTAATGTTGCCATGTGATGCTGGCCCTTAAGGGGTCATACCTCTACCTGGGCATCCCAGGCTCTCTCTGCTCAACAGCCAGGGTGCCGGGTGCGCCTTCTGGCAAGAAACAGTTTCTAGGGGGGTCTTCCTTCATTAAGCGTCTCTGTCCCTGCTCTGTCCCACTGTCTTCACTGCCTCCATTAACACCACAGAGGGAACCGGAGCCAGAAGGAACAGAGGATCGCTGATTTCAAGGCCCTCATTTACCTGAGGCCAGGGAAGTCCAGAGCTGGGACAGACTTGCTGAGAGTCCCAGAGTGAGGCCGGGGGCCAGCCCTGAGCCTGGTCTCCTCACTCCCGTTCCAGAGCCCCTGGCAGAGGGCACTGGGGTGAGGCTTGGGGGCCAGGGGAAGAGAGGGGCAGAGGGGACAACGTGTGGTGACCTAGCCTTTCATGGATGAGGTCACTGAGGCCCAGAGAGGGTGAGGGCCTTGCCCAAGGTTCTCTGCCCAAAGGGACTGTCCCTCACCTGGCAAGGCCGTCCACCCCCCCTTCCCGGGTTCTTCCTCCGGCACTTCCTTTAGTCTGAGTGCATCTGGGGCTCCTTTCGTGGCAGAAGTCTTTCTTTGGGAAAAGGAATGGGGATGGGACATGCTGGCTGCATTTTACAAACTTAATGTGCTTTCTTGGCAACGTGAAGGATTGACAGTGCTGTGCCAGGTACCAATTTTTTAAAAATGTACTGTGTCCTGGCCGGTGTGGCTCGGTGGTTGAATGTCAACTCATGAACCAGGAGGTCACGGTTCGATTCCTGGGCAGGGCACATGCCTGGATGCAGGTTCAATTCCCAGGAGGCAGCCGATCAATGATTCTCTCTCATCATTGATGTTACTATCTCTCTCCCTCTCCCTTCCTCTCTGAAATCAATAAAAATATATATTTTAAAAAATTTTACTATGTTGTGAACATCTAAAATCTGAGGCCCCTAGTCCAGACTTCACTGGACAACTAGGGAAACTGAGGCAGAGAGCAGGAATGTGGCTCAGTGAGTCAGCAGGGGGCCCAGGGCACGGGGGCCTCGGGGAGATAGTGCAGGTGGCCAGCGGGGCTGTGAGCTCGCTGGCACGGCTGCTGCCCAGTCCTTCCTGAGGAGCTGGGGGCGGCGGGGGGGTGGGACTGGAGACCCTGCCGGCCAGGGGTCCGAGGAAGAAAAGCTGATAGGGTGGCAGCGGCCCCAAGGGTTCCAGCAACCCAGGCAAGTCTCCCCCGCACCCTCACCACGTGTGGGAGGCGCGGGGGCAGCGCCTCAGGAGGCCCCCAGCCCCAGACAGAAGCAGGGGTGGGTCTGAGACCCAGGGCAGGCTCAGTCCACACTCCCCCTAGAGGGCAGGAGAGAAAGGGCAGAAGCCCATACCAGGGACACTCCGCCAGCCTGCAGGACCTTTCTGCATCTCCTGGTATCAGGTGGGAGAGCAGGGAGGTGAGGCCACACAGCTCAGCCGTGGGACCCCTGAACCATCATCTGTGGCTGCTCGTAGGGAGCTAACCCTCAGGACGGCCGGTCTGTCTCACTGAAGCCTCAGCAACCCTCCGTTGACTTAACAGGCATAATAGGAACCTCCATAGCACAGGCAGGGCTAGTATTTCTCTTCCCAGCTGAAGAATCACGGGTTGGGGTGGGGGTGGGGTGAGGGATGTGGATGCGGGGGGTCACACGGTAGAAGTGGCAAAGCTGGGATACCGATTCAGGTCTGGCTGGTTCCAGGTCCCTGACTCACCCTGGCCCAGCCCCTCCGCTCTCCAAAGCCCTCGCTGGCTGCGCTGCCCGCTGCCTGCCTGCCTCCCCTGAGCCCTGGCTCTCACTGCCTGCACGCCAGGACTTCTTTTCCACTTTATGAGAATACTGTGCTGGTTGAACACTTGTGCTTGGGGTGGCGAGACCTGGTTCTTGGTCTCAGCCCTGTCACCTCCTAGGGTATCCTCTTTGGGCCTCAGTTTCTTCATCTGCAAAATGGAGATGCTGACCACGGCATCTACCTCACCAGGCCACTGTGGCGGCAAATGTGATCAGCACTCGTAATAGACACATCGGCTGGGGCGTCAACAGGCACTGCAGGTAAAGGCACAGAATACAGCGATGGAGATGAAGATGATGGTGATGACTATGTCAGAAAATCTGGCTTCCAGTCCTGGTCCGGCCACTGACTGCTCAAGCCAGATACTCCCCTCTGTCTGCAAAATGGGGGTGGCAGGGAGTAACTGCTCCCTGGGAGAGCTGGGAAGATGTAATGAAACACGGCGCCCAGCATCGTCTGGAGGGGAGACTGGCTCTTCTACCAGAGGGAGCAGGCCCAGGGGGCCGGCAGGGCAGAGGGACTCACCCAGTGCGCCCAGGAGGGATTCCAGGGGTGGGAAGTGGAAGGAATTCACGCCCTGTCCCACTCCCAGCCCCTGAGGAGCACAGAGCCTGCCCCGCTCCGGCTCTGGAGGAGGCCTCTCCAGTCTGGCTACCTGGTTGGGGTGGGTGTCCTTTCAGCTCTAACACGTGGGGCTTTGCAGGGGAGGGCAAGGGGCCAGGCAGCTGAGCTGTGCTGCTCGGAGTGAATGGGAGCTGAGGAGGGAATCTAGCCACGGGGTGCGGGGGGGGGGGGGTGTGGTGGCAGGGTGTCTGCTCCTGCCCACGACCCTCTGCAGGCCTCTGTCCTGCTCCTTGGACTCCGGGAGGTCTGACTCTCTTCTCCTTGTGAATGTCGAGAGCCCGTGTCTTCCCCCTCCCGGTCCAGTGGCTTCAACTCCGGAGTCTCTGTCCACTTTCTGCCTGTGTGACCTTGGGCAAGTCACTTAACCTCTCTGGTCCCTGCACTCCTCATCTTTTGGTGGGGCTAATAATAGTCCTTACCTCGCAAGGCTGTGAGGAGGAATAAATAGGACCGTGACCGTGCACATCACGTGCCCAGAACAGTCAGTGATGGATAGGTGCTCGGAATCACTCCCAGGCCTGAGCGGTCCTTCCCTGGCCTCCTCCCCCGCATTTCAGAGCCCACCCTGTGTCCATCTCATGGCCCTGCCCCGTCTGTTCCAACAGCAGCACGAGGGACCAGGGGAGTGAGAGCAGTGGCCTCAGAACCGCACAGAGCTGGGCTCCAGCAGGTTCCCTGACCTCTCTGAGCCTCCCTGTCTCCACCTGGGAAGGAAGATAGCAATGCCTACCTTGCAGGCGGTCCTGAGGGCCAGACGCGGCTGGTCAATCGTCCTAAAAGTGCAGGCCACACAGTGGGTGCTCAATTAATGCTGTTCCTCCCCCACCACTTCTTCTGAACCCTGACATCCCACTGCACACCTAGCCCCTCCCCCCGGCTGACGGCATGAGGCCTGACGTTGCACCATCCGCAAGGAGCATTCAGCACCCACTTCCTCTGTGCGGGCTCTGTGCTGAGTGCTTCGCCAGGATCGATGCCTGCCACCCTCACCATGACCTCAGAGGAAGTTGCCATTATTATCCCGACCAAGGCACAGAGAGGGTCGGCGACTTGCCCGCGCTCACACAGCTCCTGAGGGGGAGAGTCAGGAGTCAGACCCCAGCGGTCAACACCAGAGCATATTCGTTAGACACTCTGCTCTCCTGCCTCCAAGAAACCCCGTTTCTCCCACTTAGCAAACACTCCCCGACCCGCCTGCCGCGGGCCCGTCAGTCAGGTCAGGCCTGCTGGGAGGGAGGGACTGGGTCACAGCGAGTGGAGCCAGGACCCAGGTCCTGGATTCCAGGTCCAGCCCGAGCCTAGACACACAGGCGGCCCTGGGCTCGAGGGGCTCTGCGCAGTGGGTGCAG